AAAATACACTTGGGTTCACCATCCCTAGCCTTCGAGGTACTTCCTACATCCCCACTCAGGGCCTACTCTCTCTGCCCTAACCCTGTAACATGACACTTTAATAATATCTCACTGTATATCCATGACTGATATGAACAGTTCCACTTACTTCGTGTAGGAAGCTGATGGTGTCCCTCACTTGGTCTGGCACAACCATGGTTCTGGCTGGCTACTACACTCAGTTACAATGATCAAAAGATTGATTGTTTGATCCAAAAAGATTCCATGATCGATTCAATGATAGATCCTCTGCCAGTTGCATTCGCAACTTTATAACCTTCCCCCAGCTGACACCTGTCTTTGGGGTAAGCTCTGCCCCTTCCTAGAGCGAATTTTCCCCCAAAGGTCTGTCTCTCGTTGGTCAGCTGGATAAAGAGGGTTGGATCTCCTCAGGCCATCTCGCTGAGTCGGCACTCTGTACGCCTTGGCCGTACAGCTGTTTTCAGTCTCTTCCGCATGACTCAGCGGTCTAAGCAATGCGACAAATTTCTACTGACATCGCTCTTCCGCATTCTCTTCAAACATTACCCTTCGTCTAATTTCTCTACTGGGCCCAATATAACTTAATACCTAAAAGTTCCAAAAACCCTTGCCGAAATTCTATGGCATTACATAAATGATCATTTCAAATTTAAGTTAACATGGTAATTAATACAAAACAAAAAGTAGAAAGATGTTGGAACTGAGGTTCTCACAGGGTGGATGTGAAGAGTTCTGTCTTCTGGGACATCATTGGACTATATGGTATTATATCCCAGAAGATAGAATTCTTCAAATAAAAATATCTACTCCCATTTAGAAGAGTATATGTTTTTCATATGTTCTCTGGAATTTTATGTGTCATTAGTTTTGCTCCCATGTATCACAGATACAAATTTAGCAGCAGAAGATGCTAACAAATGAAATTTTAATTCCTTAAACAGCAAAACTGTTATATTTTGCAATTTGGAGAAAGCTTTCAACTCTGAAAATCATGAAATATTATTGATAAAGTTATCACATTATGGAATAACTTGTAAGGTCAAATCATTATTTGAATCCTATCTTAAGAACTGATACTAAAAAGTTCAAATTATTGTCATCTTAATTCTAACACAGTTTCTAAATGGGCCCAAATAAAAGACGCTTACCCATAAGGCTCAATTTTTGGTCCCCTGTTATTTCTTCTTTATGTCAATTACTTACCCAAGGCTATAAAACATAAAGCTACGCCTATCCTGTTTGCCAATGATACCAGTATTTTAATTAGGAGCCCAAACACTACTCAGTTACAGAATGATTTTTAATATTGTTTCTGAACAATTAAATAAGTCATTTGAAGCTAATTTACTTTCTGTTAATTTTAATAAACATTTTATTCAATTTATAAATAAAAGTACACACACATCAGACAAAGGTATAAAATATGGCAATAAACAAATTTCTAATACTTTTATTGATATTTTATCTTTAAAAACACATATGTATTTGAGTATATTATGTCTAAATTAAGTTCAGCTTGCTATGCCATGAGAACAGTTACACCATTTATGTCACAGGATATTTTAGAAATGATTCATTATTCCTACCTTCACTGTTATGACTCAGGGATTATTGTTCTCAGGGCATTTCCCAGACAGTGTAAAAATCTTCAGGTTGCAAAAGAAAATAATTAGAATCATGCTTGGTTATAGAAGCAGACACTCGTGGAGGAAACTGTTCATGAAATAACAAAATTTTGCCCCTTCCATCCCATTATATACTTCTTCATTTTGTGATCAAAAATAAGGACCAGTATATGGCTAATTCGTGAACGGAGTTAATGAAGGTAGGCCTAGGCCCACTGGGGCTGTAGTGGCAAGGGAAAAAAAAAATATGGCTAATTCTGAGGTACACCACACTGACATGAGACAACATTTAAACCTACACCAACCTTTACCCAATTTAACTAAATATCAGGAAGGAGTTTACTGTTTAGGTATAGAGGTTCCTTCTGTGTGTCATTATGAAAGCTAACACTGTTTTCTCTGAAGTATCACAGCCATTTCCTAAGCTCAGTCATAACCTGTATGTCTTCATTTTCATGCTCTTTATACTGAAAGTCACAACTAGAATTTCTTATGTTGTACCTACATTCTGGCAGAGCTGATATTTGACTATTTAAAAAGAACTCCTTTTCATCACAAAACTCATCTTGCCTGGTGAAAGTATTTACCCAATTACAAGACAGCCTCCCATTCTCAATGAAAAATGTTTTGGGAAAAATAATGTTATTATTTATCAGGTAAAATCTTTAATTACAATTCTCTGACATAAGGAACTCCCACACTGCTCCTGGAACTGCTGCACAGTGGCCTTGATGTCTTCATCCAACCAGAATCCACTGCCCTTTAGAACATACTGTAACGTGTTTACGTTACTGAAGACGCCGTAGAGATGGTTAATTGGGTTTATTTAACAATATACAAATAACGGCTACAATTAATTATCTCACAGTTGCGGGGTTTCACACTTTATAACCCTAAGCGCATTAATCTGTTAACACTGTTGCGGGGTTTCACGACTTATAACCCTAAGCGCAAATCAGTTCACTCTGTCTTCAGTAGTAACACGTTGACAGTCGGGGAGCTAGGTATCACTGTATCGCACGCTCCCAATTACACAATCGCACACACGTCCGGATCTTCTTACCGCGACGGCTGCTATACTCCAACTTGTAGTCGGCTGGCTGTTACTTTATAACTCGGAATGTCTTCGGCGGTAGCCACACTGGAACTCGAACTCGAACTGATCGATACGCACTGTGCATCCACTTATATAGCTGCAGTGCTTGCCTGTGGCGTAATGAGTGCCACGTCACAGTAGGACGTTGATTACGGTTACGTT